GATGCAACTTCAAATAAGAACTACAAAAAGATGTATATATTTCACTGAGGAGTTAAGCAGTTTTCACTGCATAAAATGTACACTCTACACACAAACGCAATTTCTATTATGGCTGATACTTTGAAGAGCAAGAGGTGGACAGGTTGAGAGCCGCAAATAAATGTTAGAAATTAAAGCTTTAAAGAGCAATAATCAAGGCAGAGCCTCCTGAGTGAATCTGAGTTGATGCCTGAGGGTGAGCTGATCTTTATTCTGAAAAGGCTAACTACCAGGAAGAAGGCTGTACTTCTAAAACATTTGTGTTAGTCAGACAGCAAAGTACTGACCCGACTCACAGTAATGAAAGAATAAAATACAGAAGCCTCAGCAAAGGCACAGAAAGAAAGGAAATAGCCTCTTAAGAAAAAAAAAAAAAAGGGAATAGCTTCCTGTGCCTATGTCAGGAGCAAAGGATCCCATGAGCAAAAGGTGCAGAGAGAGAAGGGGAGTGTTTTGATTCCCTTTCTCTGATTGCTGGGACAAAATGCCTGCTGTGCAAATCAAGGAAGGAAAGGTTTACTTTGCTCACAGTTTGTGGAGGTTTCAGTCCATACTCAGCTGGCTCCAAGCAGAGTAGCACATGGAAGAGGACAGCAGTTCATGGAAGTGGAAAACAGCAAAACAGCAAGAGCAAAAAGAGAAACAGCTGCAGAGAGCAAGGCTCTGTCCCTCCCCTGTACGGTGTGCAGGCTCCCAGCCCCAGGGCGGGTGTGACACTCATACGCATAATCCAGCACTGGATCATGAATCAATCACAAGCTCTAGAAGCTGCCCCATGACTGCGTGAGGCTTTGGGGGGACAATTAGACACAAACCATAACAGGAAATAAGGTGCTTTACCTCTGACCATTGCTTTTTCACTCTATGTCTTTCAAACAAAGAGAACAGATGAGGCAGGAGTGGTGGTGTTGAGATGGATTCCTGCCCAAACCGCGAAGCTTTCTGTTCCCTCCCCTTTTTCCTTTTATTTAATGTGCTGCTCGAAAACATGCCTAGTTTTGGTTGCTGGTGACAGAAAATTCACCTCAAAAAAGCATGATTCCCTTTTGTGAGCTCCGAGGGTTCTACTGGACACGGAGATGATAACCCTACACGGCTGGGAGGTTTGTTGATTCTACTTCTGTTTCCAATACATCTCCACATAGACTATGACATTTAAATTCCAAAGTAGATCCAGAAAGAAGGAATAATTACCTTAATTTTTCAATGAGAAAACCAAAGTTTAAAAGTTTTTTAAGGTTGTAGGCACAAGGTCCGTAGCTCTAAGGGGCTGAGTCTTCCACAGTTAGATCAGTACTGTTTTATTTTTAATTTTCTAGTTCATGCATCAGAGAGTTCATAATACAAGCTATTGTTTTTTCATATTGGTTGTAAGAATTTTAATACATTTACTCTCAGAAATAATAAAATACTGAGACTAAAAGATCTTGCTCAGACAGATCAACTCTACTGAAATCACAATATAGCTGAACTACAGTGATGCTCAGATAGTGATGTGGACAATAGCCAAAGGCTATTACATTACTGAACTGAACTCTTGGACAGAGAATGAAAATGCACCCATCTTTTCAGGTGAATCCATGTCTAGCTAAAAAAGAAAAGGTACACTAGTACTTTATATTTATTCTTTCCTCCAGGGCCCTTCTGATGGAACTTGGTCAAATTTTAAATTGTTTTAAAATCTTGGGTCTCCTTGTATTCAGCTATAAAGATAACTGCTGAGTGAAGTAAAATTATGATGAAAAACATGTAAATCCTTCATGGAAAATTAATTTTTCATTTAGAAGCATAAAAATTAAAAAGCTGCTTCAGACAGTTTGGCTTCTTTATTAAGTAGTTGACCCTAAGTATTAAATGGTGGATTTGGATATTAACAATGTTATGATTTCCAGAATCTTAACATTTCCTATTCGGAAAGCAAAGTCCTACAGTAGAAGGAGCAATAAAATCTATTAAAGTTTTTAGAAAACACATCCTAGAAAATGGATCTGTTCAAAGCTGTCACTGTCAGAACCGCAAAGGTTTGTTGTGCTTGATCAAGAAATCACTGTGAGTTTACGACCTGTATTGAGCCATGCACAGCTGGTCACTAGTAAAAAGCCACTGAAGTCCAAGCCAGAAGAGCAGGCCTATACTGAGGGGACAGGCCTACCCTCTGGTGAAATGCCGGAGAATGGGGTTGAGGGTGGTGTCAGAGGAGAGTGAGTTCACAAGGTCTCCTCCAACCTTCTAGGTGGGTCAGTGGAAAAGACAAGACTCGGCCCCGGCTGGGGAACTCAGAACAGTGAAAAGCATTTTGGGGTGCAGGAAGAAAGTGTGTTGAAAGCTGCAAACCTGAATAACTCACCTGGCAATTGGGCAACAACTGATCTGAACTCAGGTCAACAATTTCTGACACTGCCAGTGAAGCAGAAGACTCAATACTATGATGGACTACTGGACTCTTTTAGAATATTTTGCTGAGCTAACACACCTATAATATTCAAATAATGGAACTAAACAAAAAAGGGGATACAGATGAATGTCCATTTTGTATCTGTGTATTCAAAATGGTTAGGATAGATATATAGTTACATTCTCTTAATGAACAGAGGAATTTGTTGTAATAGTGTTTGTAAATAGGATATCATGTCTGCATCTTGTACAGCAAATAACCACTAGGAAGAATGCATGCAATGTGTTAATTATTGAAACTGTCCTACCAATTTGGTTTGAAACTGTCTCATTGCTATTTGTTTCTCAATAAAATTATGGAAAAAATACATAAAATGGGCACAACAGTTTGTACACAGAACAGGTAGAATTAACTACACTCCATGCAATAAAAGAAGTTCAGAAAGAAATCTCTCATATTTGATCCTTTCTGTTCCTCGCACGTGAGATTCCATCCACAAGGCCTGGGCAGAGGACAAGATTTAAAATTGCACATTCCTGAAAGGGTATCCTCAAGCAAAAGCCCAAATTATTGACATCTTTGGTCTCCAATTTTGAGGTTACTACTCAACAAAGAAAGATGACTTAAAAGTATTTTTTTTTTTAAATGTATTTGGTTGTTACACAGTCTCTCTAGGCAGCTCTGACTTGTAGTGATCATCCCGTTTTCAGCCTCCCCAGCACTGGGATTAGAGGTGTGTGCCACTAAACCAGGACTCTGGCTGGCTCAGTCCTCCCTGGGAGTGGGGCTGTCACAGCATGTGGTGCCGAGGATTGAACTGCGGTTCCTGTGCTCCCTAAGCTTGCCTAAATAGGTGCTTTAGTCTGCTGAGTTATCTTGTGGGACACCACAAAAATAATTTCTTATAGGTATTACTGAAGTTAAGTTACCAATCTGTAGCAAGCTTTGTTGCGTTGTGTGTGATTGAGTTGGCAAACAAATATTAAGTGACCGTTTCTAGAAAGTTATATGCACCTTTTACTTTTCACTGACAAGTTTAATACAGAAAATCGAAAAATCATGAAAAGAAGACAAATGTCTTAAAGCAAATTAAAAAATTTGAAGGAAAAAATGTCCTTAAGGGAAAACCTTGAAAATATATTCATGTCAGGATTACTGGATTTGGGGAAACCTGAAAAGTATATGGGGCTGATTGGAGTGGGGAGGGAGGGTGCAGACTGCTGCAAATTTGAGGTGGTGCTGGGTCAGTGAACCGAGGTAAACTTTTTGGGGAATGGGATGAAGAAAGAGAAAGTTTAGTTGAGGGACAATTCGCAGTTTTCAGCCTTTGACCGTAAATACAAATATCTGTCTTCTCTCAGCAGTACTTCGTAAGTTTTCCAAGGTTCTCTTGTCCACAGCACAAACAACTGTAGCCTTTTATTTTATGTATGTATGTATTTTTTGGTGGTACCAGGGATGGAACTCAGGAGCCTGCACTTGCCAAGCAAGCACTTATTCCACTGAGGTATCTCCGTGGCCCCCTGTAGCCTTTTAATAGCGTACAAGGTAAGATTCAAAGGAGAAGAATAAATTCCAAAGAAAGACTGGCAAGATTTGCTGTAGGCACGTGTGAAACGGAATTCAGATGCGGTTGTTTCTTGGTCCTATTTGGCAGAGGGTTCTGTGGGTGGACCACAAAAGGTCTCGATTGGCGGAGAACCACTACATAGAAGGGAAGCACATCACCTGGCTGGCACAAGCACCGCACACCCACCCTTACAACGCCCTAACAGTTTGCAACCGTCTCCAAAACCCACCGGGACTAAAGGTCAGCGTTGGCACCGCTGGCCCCGCCCCCCGGCGTTCATTGGTTCCTAGTTCTGGCGCCCGCCCCCTTAGCTTCCCGCCTATTGGACCAGACAAGACCGGGGCGGAGCGCGGAAGTTGAAGGCCTG